GGAAATTATCTGTGCTCTTGTTCATTCATTCCTGTCCCCTTCTCTGCTATCTGACCTTTCAATGTTGATATTTCTCATAGATTAATCTTAGGTTTTCTCCTGTTCTTATTTTACCTGATCTCTATAGGCCATATCAGCTACATCCTTGACTTCAAATATCATTTATATACTATGACTTGCAGATTTATTTCTCCAGCCCAGATCTTCTGAGCTGTAGATTCTGTATCCAACTGACTATTTCACATCACAGAAACATCCCAATATCAACATATCCAAACATGAATTTATCTTCTTCCCCAAATTTGCTTATTCTCCTGTATTCACCATCTCAAATAGCACCACCGTCTAGCTACTAGATCATGATAGAAACCTTGTAATCATCCCTAACACTTTTTTCTTTCTTACATTTCACATGTGTTCCACTGCAAGATCTGTTAGTTTTACCTCTTCAATATATTTCATAATTTTCTTTTTTTTTTCCTTTTTGTCTTTTTTCGTGACCGGCAACGGATCGCAACCCTCAGTGTCGCGCCTGTACCAGACCGGGACCAGCAACAGGATCGCAACCCTCGGTGTTGCGCTCGCACCTCGCTCAGCCAGTGAGCGGCCAGTCTGTATGTGGGATCCGAACCCTCGGCGGGAGCGCCGCCACGCTTCCCAAGCAGCGCACTGTAGCAGTGCGCCACCGGGCTGGCCCATATTTCATAATTTTCTACTTCCATCTATTGATAACTGCCATCACCCTAAATCACACCACTAAAATCTCTCACCTAGATTGCTATGGTAGCTTTCTAATTTCTCTTTCCATATCCACTATTCCTTCCCTCTATTCCATTCTCCACACAGCCACCCAGAGTGACTTTTCTATAACTGCAGATACTCATATTGTCACATCATTTCTTGTTTAAAATTCTTCAATGGCCTCCTATTGTTAGGATAAAGTCCAAATTCCTATGGCCTACAAAACCTTGAATGATCTGGCTTTTGCCTTCATTTTTACTTGATATTCTCTCTTCTTGAGGGAATATTCTCCTTCCTATGCTCTCTTCCTAACCTTCCTCCTCCCCACTTTTATAGTTATATTTAATTGCCAAAGTAATTTGTGACTTCATCCCTTTTTTTTTTTGAACAAAAAATATACACAGTACTTCCCTGACTCTGCCAGGCTAACTCTATTCTTTCCTCAGGTGTCAGCTTAAACGTCACTTTCTCAGGGGAGCCATCCTTCTTTCCACACAGAGATGTGTATGTGTGATTATTTGTTTAATGTCTCTCTCCCCAACTATAAGCTCTGTGAGGACAGGGAGCACATCTGCTTTGTTTATTATTGTATATCCAGTATTTTGCACAGGTTCTGTTACATATCAGGCTCTCAATGAATATTGGCCAAATAAGTGAAAATGTCTTATAAAATTCTCCTTGTGCCCTCTTTTTTTTTTTTTTCCCTTTTGTCTTTTTTCGTGTCCGGCAATGGATCGCAACCCTCAGTGTCGCGCCCGTACCAGACCGGGACCGGCAACGGGACCGCAACCCTCGGTGTTGCGTCCGCACGTCGCTCAGCCAGTGAGCAGGAACCAGTCTGTATGTGGGATCCGAACCCTCGGCGGGAGCGCCACCGCGCTCCCAAGCGGTGCACTGCAGCAGTGCGCCACCGGGCCGGCCCTCCTTGTGCTCTCTTGATAACTTATGTTCTTCTCAGATGACTTTGCCTCAATAGTCACACCAACTCCTGTGGTTTGCTACCTGGATTTCCCAAATATTGACCTACTTCCTTTTTTGCTGCAACCACCATGTATTAGTCTGTTTTTTGTTGATTACAACAGAATACCTGAAACTGAGTAATTTATAAAGAAATGGGATTTATTTCTTACAGTTTTGGAGGCTGGGAAGTCCAAGGTCAAGGGGTGCATCTGGTGAGGGCCTTCTTCCTGTTGGGGACTCCCTATAGAGTCCTGTGGTAACACAGGGTATCACATGGCAAGGGCTGAACAAGAGCATTTCCACATGCTTTCTTCCTCTCCTTATAAAGCCCACACTTCCTGATAACCCATTAAACCATTAACCCGTTAATCCATGAATGGATCATGAATAGTCATCATGATCCTATCACCTCTTTTTTTTTTTTTTAATGTTGATAAGGATATCTTAGGACCAATCATCTCTTAAAGGCTCCACCTTTCAAAAACCATATTGGGGATTAATTTCCAACATGAGCTTTGGAGTGGACAAACATTCAAACCACAGCACACCCGTTGGCAGCTCAGTTCCTCATCTCCTGAAACCAGTTTGGTGCATCACAGCAGTATGAGGCTAGAGGTCAAAGTATAGCCTTGTAGTGAAGAGCATAGGCTTTGGAGAGAGACCAACATACAGACCCTGGCTCATATACTTTCAGTCTGTTAAGTTACTTACCCTGTCTAAATTTTAGTTTCTTCATTTTAAAATTAGGATAATAATACTGCCTCATAGAGTTGTTATAGGAGTTCCTTGGAATTCAGTCAACAGATATTTATTGAGCACCTATTATGTACCAGGCACTTTTCTACATGTTGCAAATATACCAGCAAACAAAACAGTTTCTGCCCTCAAGGAGCATACATTCTAGTGGACATATGTAAAAAAAAGTGCCTAACCTCTGTCATGTAGGAAGCACTCAATAAATAGTTGTTATTAACAAATACTTAAGGATAAAGAGTATATTTCTTTCGCTTTGCCACCTTGGGGATGCAAAAGAAGTATAGGATATAATATTTGCCCACCTGGAGCTTAAATCTAGATAGTCAATGAGACATATATTTGTTCATTCTATAAATATTAACTCAGTGGTATAATGAGCGAGGCACTCTGAGGTACAAAAATGGATCACTAATCTTAAAAATTTCAGCTTAGTTGGGAATATATGAGAAGTGTACACTTCTGATGTAAAACAAAATGTGACAGAAGTAGTAAGTGCTATGAAGAGTGTTATCACCTTTATATGCTAAATATAAGGTGGGCATATTTTTGGCAGGTGGCAATGGGGTATATGGTTAATTTGGTGAAGGGGTAAAAAAAAACAAAACTCTCCTGCCAAGTGAACTAAGCAGTACATGAACCATGGCAGTGTTAGGCTCTTTGTATACTTACTTTATGGTTTCCTTTTCTCACTGCAGCCCTGACTAGAGCTGAGGCAATATTAACAATGAGAACTACTGATTTTTTTGGCCAAAGAACAGGTTAGGAGGAAGAGGAGAGAAGTAAAGGGAAAAGCATAAATAAAGTCATAAGGAAATGTGGTTGACTTCTGGGAACACTGTTTCTGGCTGAAGCATAGAATAAGTTTAGGGAGGATAAAGCTAGAAATGAAAGATAGGGCCTGAACATAGAGGACCTTGAATGCAAGCTAAGGCATTTGGATTTAATTTAGTAAGATTAGGACATCAGTGAAGACTTTTGAGCTGTGAAGTAATATGATCAAAACTGTGTTTAGAATAATACATTTGACCAAGGTCAAGGGTTCGGGTCCCTGTACCAGCCAGCTGCCAAAAAAAAAAAAACCCAGGAAGCATTTGAAGAAAAGTAGCAAATAGTAGAGATAAACTGGCGTATTAAATGTGTTAATTAGTATTTGTGAAATGAATGAATGGGTGAGCCCTCCTAATTCCCTGGAGAATAAGATGCACTAAAAAAGTGTAGCAGAAGAGTAGCTTTGTTGTGCAGACCCAGATTTCATTCATTTATTTATTATTTTTGGCCACTTGTTGGTGTGAGGGTTGAGCCCTGGATGTTGGTGTTATTAGCACTGTGCTCTAACCAACGGAGCTAACTGGCCAGCACCCAGATTTCATTAAGCAGTGCTCTGACATAGGAAGACAAGGATAGAGGTAGACTGATTAAAACAAGATGTTAATTTGTAACCTACTGCATGACTACACCAACAAAGTATTGACTTATAGTCTATTGTCACTTGGAGGCAGGTTTCTAAAAACTTGTCACAAGACTGTCTATAAGAGAGTGAGAGAAGAAGACTCAGTTTTCACTCCATAAACATTTTCAGAGTGCCTGTCACATCATCAGCACTATGCTATAGGTGATTCAGCTGTGGTTTCAACTAGGGATTCAACTGTGAGCTAACAGACTACCAGGGGAGAGTATAGTTATATAACTATATAGGGGAGTTATATAACCATATATATATATATATAACCATATATATATATATGAAGAGTGCTATCACCTTTATATGCTAAATATAAGATGGGCATATTTTTGGCAGATGGCAATAGGGTATATGGTTAATTTGGTGAAGGAGTAATATATATATATATTTTAATATATTATTATATATTTTAATATATTTAATATATATATAGCAGAGAGTAGTTAACAGTTATATAACAGACTACTAGGGGAGAGTAGTTATAGTATGGGCTCACCTCCATAACACCACTTAAAATATAGTTATAAATAAATAAATATGTGTAAATAACTTACAATGTTTTAAGTGATGTTATGGAGGTGAGCCCATATATGAAAGAGTTTTTGAGTATAAGTTTATAAAATTATATCACCCTGTATGCAACTCTGCCTATGCTTTAGGGAACAGTTTTATAGTGAACTTCAAAAATAATTTTTTTGTGTTCTAAGAATTTTTATTTTAAAATAATATGTATATGTTAAGGCATATTTGAACTTTACAGAAAAGCAAAAAGGAGAAAAAAATAAATGTACTCTCCTGGGGATAAAAAAATACACCACTATTTTCAGGTCATGTATTTCCTTCTAGGCTTTATTCTCCTCGGATGGTATTCGTAGACCTTGGAGGAGGATACCACTGAGACTTAAGTGAACAGGAAACTAGCATTAGATCTCTTACATTTATTTAGGGCCACACAGTTAACAAAGCCCATTTTAAAGCAGATCAACCCCTCTGTATTTGAATATGCTAACAAAGTGCCCCTCCAGCTAAATGTGTAGCATGTGAACTCAGGGATTCATTTCACGGTTCCTATTCCTCGCAGGTGCCCCTGACCCCACAGCTGGGGCTAGCATTGATGATGAGAACTGTTGGCATTTGGATGAAGAACAGGTGAAAGAACAAGTGAAGCTCTTTCTCTCGCAGGGGGGTTACTATGGCTCTGCAAAGCAACTCAACTCAATGTTTGCCAAGGTAAGATATGAAAAGGTTTTTTTTTTTTTTTTAACTTTCTTAAGTTAAACTGGGTTCTCCACACTTCAGTCTTCATGCACTGTATCTAGCTTACTTAACCTAGCTGTACTGAATGCTTGAAATCTAGTGGGAGGGGCTGATCAGAGCAGACCTGAGCAGGTTACATCCAGGAAGCCCTACTACCTCGCCCTGGTAGTTCTGTTCCTTCTGCTCTACTCTTTAAATGAGTTTGTGTTGCTGGGGCAGGCAGGTAGCAAAGAAACTACTTTCTCTCTGCTTTGAACCCAAAGCTGCCTGATGAAGCCCTGAAAACTAGAATTTCAACATTGTCCCTGAAGATACTTAGTGCTTTGAAACTGAGGGCTCTCACATCAGGCTTGTTTGCTTTCTTTTTTTTCCCTTAACACCTATAGTGAGATATAATTCACATACAGTACAATTCACCCCTTTAAGAGTACAATTCAGTGGTGTTTAGTATAGTCACAGATATATGCAGCCATCACGACAGTCAACTTTAGAACATTTTCATCACCTTAAAAAGAAACCCCATACCCTTGTCCTTTACTCCCTTATCCTCCACACCCCCCTCCCCTATCCCTAAGTAACTGCTAATCTACTTTCTGTCTTTATAGATTTCCCTATTCTGGACTTTCACATGAATGGAATTGTATAGTATGTAGTCTTTTATGACTGGCTTCTTAGCAAAATGTTTTCAAGGTTCATCTGTGTTGTAGCATGAATCAGTACTTCATTCCTTTTTATGGCCAAATAATAGTCTATTGTATAGATATCCCCACATTTAGCTTATTCATTTGTCTGTTGATGAACATTTGGTTTGTTTCTACCTTTTGGCTGTTATGAATATGCTGCTATAAACATTCCTGTACAGGTTTCTGTGTGGACATATATTTTCATTTCTCTCTTGGAGTGGAATTGATGGCTCATATGGTACCTGTGAGTGTAATCATTTGAGGAACTGCCATACTGTTTTCCAAGGAGGCTGCTTTATTTTATATTACCGCCAACAGTGTGTGAGTTTCTGATATCTCAACATCTTGGCCAACACTTGTTATCTGACTTTTCGATTCTAGCTATCCTAGTGTGTGTGAAGTGGTATCTCATTGTGCATAACAGGTTTCTTGGTACATGCAGAGATTTTGCTTACAGAGCAAGAGGCTTCTTTTTGGCTCTTTGGACATGTTGTACTCAGGTACTTCATCTTCTCCTCCTCTTCCTCCACTTCCTTTTCCCCCAACATTTTTATGATGTGCTGTCACCAATCTCTTACCCCTCCTTATGTATCAGGTTCGAGAGATGCTGCGGATGAGAGATTCCAATGGAGCCAGGATGCTGACACTTATAACTGAGCAGTTTGTGGCCGACCCACGACTTACACTCTGGAGGCAGCAAGGAACAAGCATGACAGACAAGTGCAGACAGCTCTGGGATGAACTAGGTAATTCCCTACCTGTCAGAGAAGTGCTTTGCCCTCTGACAACAGTGTTGGTAAACACTTACCATCAATCACTGCATGCATCTTGCTAAGTCCAGCTGGTGGAAGATTTAGGTTCCTCAGAGTCCACCCAGAGTAACTCTAAACTCACTTTTGTTGCTTCGACAGCATTTTGCTTTCTATTGACATCAAACATTCTGTTTCATATGTTACCACATAGAAGCCTTTGCTGAGAGAAAACTTCTTCACTTGGCTTCTGTTGCATGGCACTAGCCTGGCTCTCCACTTATCAGCTTCACTTTTGTTGATTTCCCTGAGTCTGCTCTTCTGTATCACTAATAGCCAGACCTCTTAGACCCTGGGCAGTTTCTAAGACTTGGGCTTTGGCCTTTATTCTTCTTTTTCTAAATTCCCTGAGAACTTTTTTTTTTTAATATCATGGCTTCAGTGCTTATTTATATATTGATCACAGCCTTATCTTCTTTCCATTCATCTGAGTTCTAGTCCCATATTAGCACTGCCCCTTGACCATTTCCTCTGAGAAATCTAAGACAAACTCAGGCCTCTCCTACAGAAAAAGGATCCAGTATCTATTTAAAATTTTAAAAAAGAAAGAAAGAAAAGAAAAAGGTTCCAGTGACTCTGACATTGGCACCACCATTCCTACCAAACTTAGTGTTGACCACTCATTTTTCTGTCATTCCCTACATCCAGTCCCCCAGCTTCATTTGATTCCTTCACCTGTAAAATGTGATCTGGTACTCAGTCCCACTTTTTATTTTTCATCACCACTAGTCTGGTTGAAGGCATTTGAACTTTTAGATCAGGTTAGAACTGTAGCCTCCCAAATGGCCTCTCTGTTCTAGGTTCTCTCCCATCGAGGTAGTGCTCTTTGGTCCTCATTTCTCCTTATCATCCCCCGGCTCCTAGGCCAGTCTTGCAATGCTCATACTCAACTTCTCTCTTTATTTTCAGAATCTTCCATTTCCTGAACTCACCATCCAACCATGGCCCCTCTTTTGGATTATACTGAAAATGTTCTAATATGGTATATTCTAAAAGTTCTAATACAGCTCCTCCATACTTACTCCACCCCAGAAAGCAACAACAGACTTTCCATTCATAGAAAACACCACAAGAAAAAACTGCAGCTTGGGATTTTAGTGAATTCTCTGGACTGAAGCGTATATTTTATAGTTTTAGGGCTGAAAGTTTTAAGAGGTGAGGCTTAATGTCTTTAAGACTGTAGTTGGTTATTTTGGGGTTGGTAAGCCTGGGTTTTTGATTTGAGTGCTGTCTTCTTGGTATCATCTGGGGCACTAATGGCTTTGTCGTTCTCATTAATAATGAATAGCTACATTAATGAGTGGTATGTGCCAGTTTCTGTGTTAATGATTGTACTCATATTGTTTCGCTTATTCGTGTAACAACCCTATGAGGTATTTGTGTATTTATTGCAAATAAACAGAGACAGATCTGGTTACTTCTGGATACAGAATAAAATAAAGGACTATAGAAAACCATCTCTGCCGTGACACAGTCACACTTTGTGAAATAAAGTGATAGTCTGTAGCCACTGGTCCAATCAGTTATGACCAGTGTTATATGGTCACAGGACACAAAGCGCAGCAACTTGGGAACTGCTTCTAGACTCTTTTCTCAGAAGGGATTGTAGGCAAGGACTCCCTTTCAGGGTAAGATATTAGCATCTCCATATGTTTAGATGAGAAAACTGAGCTGAGAAACGATAAGTATTTTCTTCAGGGTCACACACTAGTAAGTGAATTGATGGCCCTAACACTGGAACGCCAATCTGTCTGACTAAATCAACCATTTTTCTATAACATCTCCCTCAATTCTTTCTTGTTATATCATTTTTATTTTTTAAAGTGAATGTTCCTTAAAGATTTGAAATTAGCCTTCTTTAGAGAGTCAGTTTTATCTGAGGCCTAAATGTCTTAGAGTAATTTCTGTGCCAGTCACAGGATTATGGTGTGAATTTGGGTTTGGCCTTTGGGACAAAGGGAGGTGAGAGGAAGTAAGCTGACCTGGCTCCCAGTGCTTTTAAAGTACTTGTCATATACTTGGGTTCATGTATGAAAATCTCTTGCTTCTGACATTTTTATATCTAAGAAATTGCTATATCAACCTTCCAAGAAACCCTCAGCATTCTAAGACAGTGGTTCTTAAACTTTTCAGAATCACTTGAAGTACTTGTGTAAACAGATCATTGGGCCCTATCTCCAGAGTTTCTGATTCAGTAGGTTTGTATTGGGGCCTGAGAATTTGCATTTCCAACACATTCCCAGGGGATGCTGATGCTACTGATCCAGAGACCACACTTTGAGAACCAGTGCACAAAGGGGAGCCTCATTAGGTCAGGCACCGGAACACAGTCCATTCATGACTTCCCTAACTACTCTAAGGGCTCCTTACTAATCAAAAGGCCTTGTTTATATGGGGAGAGCCTAGGCAGGGTTTGCAGGAACTATAAATATAATAGAGAGAAATGGGCTCACTACTTTCAGTTTCTGAGTTATAGAAAATAGAAGCAGTCAGATATGAAGTTTCCTCATTTCCCCACCCACAAATCTATTAACATATCCATGTCTATACCCCTATGCTTTGCTTTCTCTTCTGTTAAAATCCATAAAGTGTCTCTGCTTCCATAAAAGGCCAATCCTTACATATTTGCTTTGGATTCTATTCCATTTCCTTTTCTCAAAAACTTTTGCTCCTGTAGTTATCTTCTTTCTCTGGCATCATTAATTTCTCCCTCTCCTCTCTCTCTCTCTCTCTCCCTCCCTCCCTCCCTCCCTC